TTACTCATTTTTTTTTATTCTCATGGTCAGAGCACTCCGAGCTTGCCAACTATCTTCAGAGGCTTAGGTAAGTCTGACGAGAAAATTTCCGATATGCAGCCAATCCTTTTTCGATAGCGGAAAAGGATATGGCGCGCAAACGGCAAACAACAACAATTATTACTCGAAGACTTGTGACTCACTCATTTGGTTGGGTCCGTTCATGGTCAGAAATATGGCGTATCGAAAAAATATGCAAATATTCCCTGCAGTCGCGCGAAAAAGGAGAAGTCCGCATTGAGCACTGAGTCATTTGGGTGGCTCGCTCATGGTGATGATAACAGATGATATTTAATTGAAGCCTTCAGAATCGTGCAGGAGAGTAGGAGTACCACTCTCCGGCATGGCTTAGGTGGGGGCATTTTGCTGATCCGCAGCTATCCCTTCTGCATCCCGTAAAGGCCTGTAAACTCCTATAAAGCTATGCAATAACATGAGCTTTGCTCACACTTGAAAAGGGTCCAGAGATGAGATGTAGCCAACAGGAATTAGCAAAAGAAGTTAACAGAAGTACAAAGTGCCCCTCCTAACCATGAGCCAAACAATGCCAGACCTTTCTATTGCTTTATAATGACGGCTGTCAGCGGATTTCGATTCTCCGCTATTAGTTCCTCTACTTTTTGAAGGAAGCGATGTTGTTGCAGTCGCATAGGGCGGTACCACTAACGCACCCAACTGGATCTTCTCCCCTGAGCCTTGTTTCTCCAGCCGATCGTAGCTGTTGATAACGGACTTGTGGGGTTTTGACTGTGTCACTTAACACGGTTCCCTTTACATTTCTTTCATTTCGGCCCGCCAGTTCTGTCATTCGAAGTCAGAGTGGTTGAAGGAAAAGGTCAGGGGCTGACGGTCCGGAAGGGAATTTTCGTCCATCTTGCCAGTGGGGAAAATCTTGGAAACAAGTGAATGGTACTATCAAAAAGAGTTTTGCCGTGGTAGAGTGTTAGAGCGTTCTTCACCATTCCGTTAGCTCTACATTTCTTAACTGAGGTCAGATATGTGGCGCGACTCAAAGGGATTTATCACAATTATTGTACATTTTCTGGCTCATCATTTTGTGGTGTGCACTTCTTTTCCTTACAACTTCAGAGATAATTATTGTAGAGAGAATTTATTCAATCATGGAAATGAAATAGTTGGAATGAACCAATAAAATGAAGAATTAGGCTCTAAGCTTGCGTCTCTTGCGGTATCCCTGTTGCTCCACTGCCAGAGTCTTCTTATCTTCTTCTTGGCGTGGTGGACAGTTACAGTAGTGAGCATCCTCGCCAGGATCGCCAGGTCGTCCCATCGGTCCTTGAATACCAGGATGGCCATCGTGGCCAGGACTACCGGGGAATCCAGGTTGTCCAGGAAGTCCGGCTGCTCCAGGCATGCCTGGAGCGCCGGCGTTTCCTGGCAAACCTGGCTCACCAGCCCATCCTGGCTCTCCAGCCTGTCCTGGAGATCCTGGGAAGTAGGCGAATCCGGGCACGCCATCTGGACCATTTGCACCATCGAAACCTGGAGGCCCTTGTTGACCTGGATTCCCATCAACACCTGGTGGTCCCATATTGCCATCCAGGCCTGCTGGTCCCGTTACGCCGATAACTCCCGGGTATCCAGGTTCTCCTATAGGACCGTCGGGTCCTGGTGGACCTGGTGGGCCTGGTGGACAGACGATGCAGCCTGGAATGGATTTGAAGAAATAATCAGCATTACCGGAATTTAAGTAAGGCTCTTACCTCCAGGAATGTGTTGTGTAACAAGGAGACTGACGCCGGATGCTCCTGGTCTACCAGGCTCTCCCGCCGCTCCTTCGAGGCCACGTGCTCCTGGAGCTCCTGGCGGTCCGGGTGGCCCTGCAGGGCAGCCAACTGAAGAGACTGCGCACTGGCAACTATCAGGAAAAGCGTAGCGCTTCGGACGGAAGAGACTTGTCAGTGTCGGATTTTTGGATTCGCCTGTGGGACTTTGTAGTACAAGAAGGCGATCCCAGGTGTCATCAGCAATCTCTCGGAATTCAGTCATGCCGCTGTAGATTTCATCTTGTAGAGCAGTGATATCGTTGGCGACATGGGCGATGCTGATCAGGGCTGCGATGACGCCCAGGGCACAGACACCAGCAGCTACGTAACCACCAGTGGTGGACATTGAGCTGTGTGGGATGCGCCTGGTGACACTCGTTAAATAGCTGCGACGTGCGCCACGAAAAAAAAGGAAGTCGGTCGTCTAGCGGCGAAAAAAAATCGGGCGCACTGGATGCACTTTAACGACAGAAGATTGAAAAACGAGATTCCTTTTGTTCAAGCAATTTTCGTGGATTGGTGGCGATTTGTCGAGTTCGAAGGATATCTTGGCCAGGTTTGAGACGAAAATCGTCTGCGAGTCTTACGAGATCATTGAGCGTTTGCCTTTAGCGAAGGCTCATTATAGATTACTCCCTAGCTATTTCATAGTTCCTCTGAAGCTGCCTTCCAATCGAGTCCTGCTTCCTTTTAGAAGAGGGACGATAACAAAGTGATGAATGCTGATCCATCGTTTTGACGAGAATATGCCATTTGTTTTACTTTAGGCCATCCCCTGCAGTGCTCATCATTGCGGACTGTCGGGGCCGGCGTGAGCGGCGCGGTTCGAGCCCGCGTCCGGCTGCCTTGCTCTACCAATGGCGATCGGGTAAAGATCGATTTAGGAAGAAATCAACCACTGGTGGAAGGGCCGCGAGTGGGAACCGCTGAATGCGACCCGACAATGATATAAACTGTGGAAGCTCGGCTTCTGGGCTGGATACAATACCCCAAAAAAGGAATTTGGAATGAGCCAATTTTCGCATTTTCAGTACTTTTCCTGGATCTTCTTCAACTTGTAGAAAATCACCTCCACAAGTCACGTGTTCCAGGGAACATTATTGAACAACTTGTGTAACCCCAAAACATCCCGAAGCGTGTTCATGAAGAACCGGTTCCAATAGCGAAGGATCAACGTCTTTATGATGAAATGACCGAGGCGAGATTTGATCACATTGAGCACCTGGGAAGCCTCAAAGAGTCAGCGAAGAGGACTCATCTGCAGAAAAAAATTCCCTGCTCTATAGGAGCGCTGGTACTCGCTATCATTCTCCGCCAGAGCGCCATTCATATCGAAGGCAGTGCATAGATTTTTTTAATTCAGCACAAGCAGGTTGACGATTGTTTCAACTGGTAATTCCCCACGAGAACCGTCGCTCGTCATGTTCGATCGAAGTACGCAGCCACGCCCTCTCCACATCCGAGATATAGAGTGTACTTACACCCTCAGGAATATTCTGGGCCAATATTGCAAAGCAAACACTATATTTTCAATTGATTATTGCAAAAGCAACAACTCCAAGCTAAGGGGTGGAAGTACGGGCACAGAAGCCCGGTAAGCAGGCTAAGGTAAGGTGCGAGTTCGAATCTAGTCTGGGATCATGCTTACCTATAATTTGGCATTCAGCGCTAACAACCTCAGAGGGAAGCTAAAGGACTCTTCCTGCGAAACTAGGATTACTTTCGTTCGAATAAAATTAAGTACTAGGAAGTGTTCCTCCCATCCTCTAGCTCCTTCACCTTTTCAGACTCATAGTCAGACAAAAAAGTCCTCTTCCAGCAATTCCAGTTTTGTATAGGAAGCCATCTAATTGAAAGTAGCGAACCCAACTACTCCACCCAAGGTTATTTATACCTCGCATTTTGTGATAATCTCCGTCGCTACTACTGCCATAAAAAGTAGTTGTCGCAGTGAAACGAGTTCAACGATACTGTTTTGTCACAGTACAACGTTTTCAGGAATTTTTTATAGGTGAAAATGGTGTATTCAGATAGTAGAAGATAGCTTCTTGCGATGTTAGTGAGGCCTACCAATAGCCCGCTTTTTCATATTTCTAGGGTGGTCGAGGCACTGGTATTGGATACGGAGGATATGGTCCTCCTGTCCATAACGGTGGTGGTATCGCCGGACGAGACGGAACGTATCCTCCTCCCAGTGTTCCTTCTGGATGTGATGGTTGCGACGCTGTATTGTCTGCTGTATCTCCTTGTCCAGTGACAACTGCTGCTGTAACTGGGGCCGGCGCTGAGTGAACATCCGCGATCTTAAAAGAAAATTCGTTCAGCTGTGGAAAGATGATGTTCTGATTTTCGGTCAATACTGACAAAATGAATACTTCCATCTGCCTAGCAATGACCCTCTAGTAAGAAATTACCAGTGCGACTGCAATGGCGAAGAGAGCTAAAAGTAGGCTTCCCATGGAGGATGTACGATGAGTGATGTGGGAGACCAGCTTCTCCACTATTTATACCGGTATAACGCGAGTTTATGGCTATGCGAATGCCTTGCTTCATGGCCAATTATATTTGTGTGTCAACTGTATGAGCAACATTTGATTTCAGTGGTTGCTCGTTTGAAATGCTTGGCTTTCGGCACATGATCTTTTACATGGTTGTCGCTCTCTTCTGTGCCGTTGATGATCACAATGTTCCTTTTGCAGCCGTCGAAAACGGGAGACGGGCAAGAAGATCGTTAATTGCTGCTTCATCGCGCGCGGCAATGGGAAAGTGGACTAGTAGCGAGTGGGACGAGCGGCTGCGAGGGTAGGAGTGAGAGACGTAAACTCACGAGGGGAGAACCGCCCGAAATCGTGATATTAGGTTGTTCGAAAAGTTATGCGACACTTTGACCAAATTTTTCGGACTAAATTTTCGTCACTAAAGACATCTCCAATCTACAAGGTAACCGCAGTGACTAGTGCCCTTCTTTTGCACAGCTTCTCATTTCCATTCTCATAGAACTACGGCAACTATGAAAAAAGAAGAGGTGGACCTCATTCTCGAGTTGAGGTCGATTTTCGGGAATTTTTGCTTTTTAAAGGATGCGATAGGGACCAAAGGAGGTGGTAATTAGAGGCTGCTAACTTTGTTAAATAACCTGGGTACGGTCGCATTCTCTGATCGAAATCCATGATCTTTTGGCGTAGCCTGATCCCCACATGCGGTCTTCGCATTGCCGAGTAGTAGAGAAAAATTGAGTATTTCTGAATGAATTCAAGCGTGACGTCATCCATATTTTGAAGTCGATTAAGGTGGACTGTGGTCCTCACAACGGTGCTACAATACCGCTCCTAATTTGTGGTCAATCGACGGTTTGCGACAGATTTTTCCGTCGCAAACCGTCGTTTTGCCATAACTTCTGTAAAAGAGGTCCAAATGATCTGAAATTCAGACCATCCGATAGCCCTGTACAAGATGAATCCAACGATGTATGGAGCTTCCACTTTCCTTCAGTTCGTTTTTCTCAAAGAAATTGACGTTTGAGTCTCCAGTGACCCAAGGTGTTACCTGCAGACACGGCTGCGTCGTAAACCCTCCAGTCCAATTATGAACTTCAAACCAAGTGCCACAAAGCCATAAATACCAGCATATTCAGAGAGGGCATGATTCCGTGATCATTTTGATACTTTTCATGACAGGGTTTCAGCAAGGTTCAGCTGAAAATCATGGTTCACTGACCACTCTTTCCTTGATTTCCGGTTTGAATCGGCTTGAGGAACAGTATCTGATTCATAGCCAACGATCTTGGAAAATTCACATTGGCTCCCTAAAATATGACGAATAGCTTGGAAGTACAATACCCGGAAGTACAATACCTGGAATTGTTCGAAAAAAAAAAAAGAACGCAGATCCGCGTTTTTTTCCGTTTTTTTTTTGCTATAACTCTTCTTATATAGAACCGAAAAAAGTCGAAAATTGAACTGTGCTTCCTATCGAAGTACCTGAGGACACTCGTTAGCGAGCGAGTCTCGCTATAATTGTAACCTGAGGGTAAACATTGGGAATTAAATCATTGTGGCATCAAATAACGTACTGTATCGCGTGAGAAGTGATTAAAAACTAGATAGTTGTGTTTCCCAAATGCTGCTGATTATTTTGGTGCCAATTTTCCTGAAAATTGAGCGGTTTCGCTCGATGCCACTTTCGGACGATATAGCCTTTTCAGTCCGGAAAATCTCGAGCTGTGGTTCAGTTCGGACCACACGAGCACAACGTGCCTAATGTATGGAGCCCTGTTTTCCCTTAATGTTCGCGAATTCCAAGAATGAAGTCAAAAAGAAGGGTTTTTTCAACTACTTGAAATGGGCACTTCGTGCGATACTAGAACAAATGCTCGATTTTCAGCGTTTCCAAACAGGATTTCAGGCACTTTGAGTGGCCCCAGATGTTCCATAAAAAGCTACAGAACGTTCTGTGCTTTTCAACAACTTGGTGGAAAACAGTGGCGTATTTTAGACTGGTTGTTGTTATCGGGTGCCAACTTCGCGACTTCATTTCAAAGCAAAATTTACGCTTTTTCCAAAGGAAGAAAATCCCAGTCAAAGTCACACCATTCGAATCCCATGGAAAATTCTATCTATTCATGTAAAAATCACCTCGTGCAACTTCCTACAACCTTTCGCAGTTTTCCCCGGCTATCTGCCTTGTCAGCGGTCAATCGACCTCCTAAGTAGTTATCCCACCGAGGGTGTCAGGGCGCTGTATTGATCAATCTCAGTAATTTCTTCTAACGTGGTCTCTTCTGTTCACTATTTCGCACGTGGTTCATGAGGACTGCCGTTCTAGAAAATGTTTCTCTTAGTTCAACTTTGAATTTTCATCGAAATTTCAAAAATTTCGTACTTCGAATTACAAACTCCTCCATCATTAATCAATTTTTTTTCTTGAAAATCCTTGGGAATAGAATTAACGATACGGCAGATTTTTCTAGGCTCCACTGCTTTAAGCAATTGATTCCGTTATAAGGCTCTGCCTCGAAGAGCTCAAAAATCTTCAACTGTCACCCTGAACTTTGAATAGAATCATAGCGAACACTTTGCAGAATGCAAGAGGTCGAGTGTATGGATGGATGAAAGACTATGGGTATGTTCTATTCATGCATTCAAACGCTTTTACTACCTTTAGTGTGAATAGGAAGCACGGCGTATACGGTAGAGACAGACCGATATGGGCTGTTTGATCCTCTGCTGTTGTATGCAGAGAGATGGTTGTGGTCTTCGCTGATCAGTTCGATCTCCGTTTGATCTACAATCTGTGGTGCCCCGGTGTAGGTCGTCACCCGGTTGGTCGGGCTTTTCCGAAGATTCT